CTCCTCCACTTTCAACAGGCAAGGACACAGAACAGCGTGAGGCTAGTTTACACAGCCGTCTGAGATCTTCAAGAAAATGATCTTTAAATCCCCTACACCTTTGAGCAACACACTCTCAGAAGTTATAACTCACCAAGCAGTGCATTTTCATGTTATCGGCTCCAGTTTTATAACACAGCCTCCATGACGAACTTTTGTCTCTTAGGAAACCAATAAAGCTTTATATGCTTACCAAATCCATCAAATGATAAGGACAATGCTTGGCAGAGAGTTTGATGGCAAGAAAGCACAGATAAAGCTGGCAGAACACTAAGACATGAGAGGTGTGTATGGGCTTGTCTCAACAAGGCGTGGAGAAGAAACATTATTGAAATCACAGTAGTCCTTCCAAGTACGGGAGAACATACTTTGGCAAAGAGAGGAGACAGAGGAGGGATAAGCTATGTGCATACTAACTGTCTGTCTGTAGTACTGCCTCCAGTCTTTACTATTTGCTTTTTAAATACAAAGTTGGTAAGTATAGTTTATAGAATGTGAAAACCCAATCACGACTTAGGTAAATAAAATGCTGCTGCCCTACCTTTCTCATCCAAAAACTTGACGTTTTCGATGCAATTTTAGTCAACATGACACGCAGCTCTTTCCTCAAGTCTGTGTGATCATTCAGTGTGTGTGCATGTGTGTGTGCATGTGTGTGTGTGTATGAAAAGGCAGACACAGGTTAATGTTTAAACCACCCATCCTGTGGCCTGAGCGCTGGCAGGCCTGAAGAAGGGCCCCCAGGGGCTCTAAAGGTGGTTGGGAATATGGTCTGATGGGGCTGACCTGCCAGCTCCGCCTGTCAATTTGTTTGAAGAGTTCTCTCTATGAGCTCAGTCTGGACCAATCCCGTAGAGTAAACACTCCACGGAGCCCTTATCACTCAGAGCTGATACGCTGGCCGGCGCCCTCTTATCATTATGGACATTGAGCAAAGTACAGGGGAAGACATTGGACTTTAGCTGCAGCCTGCCACAGATGAGCCGGGTGATAGCTAACAGGTCAATCGTTATGCTATCAGGTTACTTACCCTGTCTATTCAGGGTCAATGGCAGTTATAGCAAACAGCCAATTTATCTGCTATTTTTAGACTTGAAAAGGTCAAAAACTATTGTGTTGGCAAAATCATTCTTATGAGTGAATTCAAATACATGCTAAGGTTTGTATTTGTGGATGTATTATTTCCACATTTCCAGACTCCTATTGCCTTTCTCTCATTTGGTAATAAAAAACGTAAAGCAATCTTTAGTTGCCAAATGCATCACTTTTACAATGAAATCTGCATTTGGCTTTGACAATATTACATTTGTGTTACAACGTGATGGAGATTCATTATTTACATGTAACCTAAAAATAACAAAAAAATGGTTTGTTGGAAAGAGACACTCTTTTACTGTCAGATTGTTCAAGCTACTGAAGCACAGAAATCTTGCCTGCTAAATTAATGTATGCATGATAATAAACACAGTCAGTTGCATAAGCCCAAGCGGATTTTGACCCCTGCATTGACAGCGTGTTCAGTTTCATAACAATGAAATGTTCAGACACACTCACAAGACAGACATCCACCCGCACCATTAAACCCATAGAGAAGGTGCAATGTGTCCGCGTATCATGTTATAAGAAAGGATGTGAAGTGACCACCTGACCCTTCATATGGCTCTTTATAGCCCATCATTATGTGTGTGTGTGTGTGTGTGTGTGTGTGTGTGTGTGTGTGTGTGTGTGTGTGTGTGTGTGTGTGTGTGTGTGTGTGTGTGTGTGTGTGTGTGTGTACATTGAGCTCAAACAAAGCTACATCTTTCATCTGAACTTGTTTTATATCTCGAATATTTGGGCATAGGTTTAGTTTAAGCAGATCAGGGTTTCTAAATACTATTTAAAATATGTTTAATTGGACCAGTTGCCATTATCTCCCAACTGTTTTCTTTCTCATGAGTCTGCAACAGATGTATGGCTCTTTACTTTGCCAATATACAGTATTAAGCATTTGACCCCATAAGTATTAGATAAATATAAGTTACCAATAACCTGTTAAACACTGAAGGACAATAGGTTGCATGCTGAAGCATTGAGAAAGACATTAATGAAGCAAATGACTTTTTAGAGCATATGGTAAATGTAATTGCATGGGACATATTTGTCTGCAAAAAAGTGGATTTGATCAACTTGATAAGACTATATTCTGTGTGATCTTTGCTTTGAGTCTGATGTGTCAGCAACAGTGAGGACATATAGAGAAATGTCCTCAGCTGCTATGCGACCTTGACCTGCAGTTCAGCAATGAGCTACCCCAGTGTGTTACAGCTGAATAAACAGCAGGCTCGCCCAAATCGCTAACAACGCTGTCCTTAAGCAACACATCCATTCGGTGCCAAGCGATGGCTGCTGACTGCCACTCTGCACTTATTTCCAAATCAGGCCCAAGGATTAATAAGGTCACCATTTCAAAACCTCCATGCAGTTCATCCAAACTGTACATTTCAGAAGGGATAAACTGCTGCAATCTTTTACAGATACTTTTTGTCCACTTGACAGATGTAGGGCTTGGGTAATAAGTGACAGTTACATGTAATTACACTGGTCCAACAACACAATCAAGTGCACTTATAACCTGTTTTGCCATAATTGGTTTAATTTGGTTTCATCACATCTGTATTTTCACTGCCTATTTCAGTAATCATGTACTGACACGCAACAACTGGATAGCTGAGCTGTACAATATTGTACAAACATCTAAGAAGATTGCAGTATTTAGCTATTTCTGCTGATGCAATACATGTGTGAAATGCTTTGTACTCATACCTTGTTTAAATATGGTTGTTAACAAGAGTAATTATAGGGTTCAAAAGTTTGCAGGCTTGAAAATAGACAGGCAATATTTGAATATCACTCACCACATTAGTACAGACTCATTATTTGGGAGCACATTGTGATCTACAAATAAAAATATTCCACCAGCACAATTGACATATCACGACTAATGCCAAAGAGAAGGGAATGTTCAAGACAGCATGTGCTGTTCTACCAACTCTGCCAAATAACAACACCATCGACCCCTTTGGCAACAAGTGGACATCAGAAGACAAAGATCAGTCTGAAGGCCTCTGAACGTTGACTGAAAACGAGCGCAGCGCAGCCAAGAAATATCAAACATTGTACATGCTGAGGCTTTGTTTAAGAGGAGAGTACAGGGGCTACAACATTACAGGGACAATTTAAATTCTTAACATGATGCTATCATGTGCAGGAATCCATCCATCCATCCATCTTCTCCCGCTTATCCGTGGTCGGGTCGTGGAGGTAGCAGTTCCAGCAGAGAGCCCCAAACTTTCTTTTCCCTGGCCACATCAACCAGCTCTGACTGGGGAATCCCAAGGCGCTCCCAGGCCAGCGAAGAGATATAATCCCTCCATCTGGTTCTAGGTCTACCCCTTGGTCTCTTCCCAGCTGGACGTGCCTGGAACACCTCCCTAGGGAGGCGCCCAGGTGGCATCCTAACTAGGTGCCCGAAAGCCAGAGGAATATTCTTAAATAATCCAAGGATGTCAAAGTGTAGCTTGGGGACAGCTTCTTTGCAGTTCACACTAAGAAATATGAGATTATACAAGAAAATAAGTATATAAATGTTTTATTTCAAAACATGTGAATGATCTTTATGATAAAATTCAATAATATGCAGATACAATTTTTACAAGGGGTAGATTTTAAAGTATTTGTTTAAATATCCAGTAAAGCTCTTTCTCAATAAAGACTTAAAATATATATTGTTTCCCTCATAGACACCATGGCATGTGAACACAACCACTTCACACCACAGCAAAGTTTGAAACGTTTAAATGTATATCAGTACCATCATAAAAGTTATCTTTTTTAGTAATATCTCTGCCTCACACCAGTGGGCCAGTGAAATTCCCAACACCTGTTTAAAGTGTCCCCGCACAAGATTTAGGATCACAATATTATCAGCAGACATCACATTGTATAGTGCTGGAGTGGTTTCACAAAGGCCTTATTTCCCCAGGCCCTCTGCCGCTGCATGAGAACAGCATAAACCACACCATCAATCTTTCATATTTATGTAAGTGGTTTTGTTGGAAAAAACCTCAATCTATAAACTCTCCTTTGTCCATAGCCGTGGGAAGCAGGGATGCAGCTCCCTCTGGTGGTTGTCTGAATAACTGCGTAAGAGTCCAATATAGTCAACATCTAAAGAGCCTTCTCTCTTTATTATTGGCATGACACCTATTTCATTGTAAGTGGTAAACAAAATGATTATGTTTTATCTGAGTGTAAACTGTTTTAAATTGTACATGTTTTTAATGATTAGTAATGATAGAAAACACTAAAAACACTCACAGGAGCTCATTCAGATGTGCAGGAGCTAGTTATTTGTTATCAGTGTTAATTCATGCGCAATACAGTCAACGACTCATGATGTATATGGTGAACAAATTCATTTCAAATTGATGACATTTGATGCAGATACACAACTATTTTGAGCTGTTTGGGGATTTGTTTGGACAATTTAAAGGTCCCATGTCATGCTTTTTCCGGTTATTACCCGTCCCCTTGTGTGTTGTGAAGTATTGCGAATGTGTTGTGATGTAAACGGTCACAAACCCTCACCCTGTAGCGAGTACACAGAAAAGACCTGTCTATGCTACCCCAGAACGCCTCGTTGGAGATTTTCTTTTTCAACTTTTTTCTTCAGGGAACCAAGTGACGTAAGGACGACCCCTCCGTGGATTGGTCAAATGGACCAATCCGTGGAGCCGTTACGTTACGTCCGCGGAGCCGTTACGTTAAGTCCGTGGATTGATCCAAATGGACAAGCCGTTTAGGACAGAGTGAATACACATACTATACAGAGATGCTGTATGAGAAACCAATGTGATTTTGGAAAGTTGCACAGTATAAATCTATTTTATTATACCTCAACAATGGAATTACGATCAGTAGAAATGGCCATGATGGGACCTTTAAAGGTTCAGATAAATAAATACTTCTTTAGTTTTAACTGCCTCGATGTAAAAGAATGTTGGGTTGTTAGATTATTACTAAGAGTCTGAAGCAGATATAAAGAACCACTGTCTTTGAAATGATGCCAGCTGCAGCACTTTAGAAAATGGAAAGAGCTTTCGAACACTGACAGCCAACTCTGACTCATGTTGCTGCAGCTACTGATGGACACATTAAATGTTAATGTAGTCCAACAAGTAATAAGGGGGGGTCACCTGTGTTTCAACCTAAAATGAACCCAAAAAAGGGCAAAGTTTCACATTAAAATGGTACTGCAGGGATTTAGTATTCCACCCTCATAGAGTTTGGGGAGTCATAAATGACATTTAGTCTGTAAACACTGATCTCTAAATGTTCAAATAGCATCCCCTTCTAAGGAAACCCACCTTAACTTACACCTTTTTATATCAAGTGTTTAGAAAGTTTAATTCTGCAATCAGGGGTTATTTCCTCAGACACATTTGGGAGACACAGAACAAATTATAGTGGGCCTACTGTTTTCACAGGCTGCCCGTAACGACACAAGGTAACAACATTGACAAAACCATTTAAATGACATTGCACCTTGATTTAGTTAATGCAGCAGCCGTGAAAGGGGTTTGAAGTATGTATTTAAGTCTAAATGGCACAAATCCATTTCACTACAGACAGTATAACCAACAGGTTTTCCTTTAATGTGCATTTTCCTGCCCTGGTATTCTATTTATGAAAGACCTTCAACTCACAGGGGGAAATTACCATCTCAAAGCGTCTCTTGCAAAAGCAAAAAACCTTTTTAGTTTTTACACATTTTACGAGAGTGGGTTTTAGCTATAAAAATATCCGTTTTTTGAAATACTGTCATCAGTCTTGTAGTGTTGACGGCGGGACAATACTCACAAGGTATCAACACATAGAAGGATTTTTTTTATGTCATGGGGTATTTAGGTACAACAATACGGGGCTGTACCACTCTTTCTTCACAGTTTTACCCCTTTATTATTCACATTTACTGGGAAATTATTACTTGAATGACTTTGAATACATACATTTTTTTGCATGTATATCTCCTGCTATTAGCCCTCTGTAAAAACGGATGTTAAATGCGCTTTTTCAAATTATTTTGTTTGCTGTTTTTCACCTAATTTTGATTATTCTGTGCTTTTGTAGGGCTCTTTAGCCAGGACAATGGATCATATCTGTAATTAAGCTCTGGTTTCCAGATAACAGTGGTTAATGGTTTCAACCGGTCTCCACAAGCATACTTTAGTATTGTTAGATTACCCATACAGTCATGGTTTACCTTTAAATACACTGATACCCGAATTTATATTGGCTTTCATTCAACAAGATTGCATTGCCTTTTTATGATTTCACGGACAATGTAGACATTTTAAAAGCAATTGCAGTTATAGAGTTGTTTAGTTGTAATTATAAGCGAGTGTGAAAATATTAGGGTTGCAGTAAGTAATGGTGTGAGTCAACATATACTGTAATTTTTTAGCAAGCATCCCGTAAACTTAACCCATTCCAACAAAAGCCATCTTCCCACGGCTATGCAAATACCAGCTGCCCGACTCCCTTTGAAATCCTACACACCAGCAGCATCAGAAAGACGATCAAGTCCCACTGCTCACACCTGATTGGTTGGCTTTTGTCCTCTCCAAAGCGTTCAGAGTGCGTGATAGGTTCACCATCTGTCTGTCCAGGCTAGAAGTGTTCCGTGATTGGACAGTAATGTTTACAGCACCTGGTTGGTTGACTCTACTCCGCTCCAAACTGGTGGAAGTGCGCGAATGGACAGTCCTTTCTCCGGTCAAAGTATTAACAGTGCGTATCTGATTGGCTCTCCCTCTGTCCAAACTGTTCACTGTGTTTAATTGGCTGCTTGGCTGAGTCCCAGGAGCGCCTGATTGGTTAGCCCTCCCTGTCTGTTGATTATTGAGGGTTTGCAGTTGGCTGGTCCTGTCTCTCTCTGGGAGTTTGGGCTGAGTGGAGCTACTTCTGTCTGTGTTGATAGTCTGTATCCTCTGCCTCTCCCTCTCCAGGCTGGTATCCCTGCGTACGAGTCCGCTCCTCTCTCTCTCCAGGCTGCTCTGGATCTCTGCCCTCCTGGCCAGGGCGTCTCTCAGCTGGGTGCGAAACGTCTCGATCTTCCCCTGCAGGTCCTGGAGCTCCCCCTCCCACAGGCTCGTCTGAGCGACCCTGCTCCCCAGAGGAGAGAGCACCAAGCCTGTGGAAGCCAGGGAGGAGACAGGGCCTCCGTTGGCTTGGAGGTTAATCTGCGGAGGGGCTGTAAAACCCCCCATCCCCCACCCTCCTAAACCGAGTCCAGGACGGCCCACCATCCCGGGCCGGCCGCGCACTGAGGCGGTGTGTGTGTGCAGGCGGTAGCTGTGCAGGGTTTCCAGGTCAAAGTGCACGCGTTTCTCCTTGGGCTCATGGGATGGAGAGGAGTTGCAGGTGTCTCCAGCTGTAGTGGAAGCAGGGAGGGATGTGGGAGGAGATGGGGGAGAAGGCTGATGGTGTTTCCTGTGGAGGGTGCAGTTCTCTGAGATACAAGAGGAGGGGCTAGTGAAAGAGAGGAAGATCACAGCAAAGGGCATATATCCAGTGAGATATACTGTACAGCAGTAAACATTCTCCTATAACTGAATGCAAACACACAATACTGTATTATAACATGCACATTAAGCAGGGCTATCCGACTCATATAATATCACTTGTTTTAGATTAGAAGTACTCTGGGTTAAATATAAACAAATAAGTCATGTTTTATATCTAACATGAGACTGTCAGTGCAAGATATCATAATTTTAACAAATTATTTTGTATGTTATTAAGTTAAACAAGCGAACAAACCACACTAATTGACTTGTTTTAAAGAAACAGTTAGACATTTAACAAATATGCTTATCCGCTTTCTTGCAGAGCGTTTGACAAGAAGATCGATAACAGTCTGTTCGGTAAATATTAAGCTGTCAGCAGCTTAGAACAAAAACAAGATATAACGTGTTAATTAGAGAGGTGCTGGTAGGCAGATGTTATCTCGGACAGAGCCAGGCTAGCTGTTTTCCGGTATTTTTGCTTAACTAGACAGTTGCTGGCTGTAGCTTCATATTTCCTGCACAGACATGGAAGTTATTTATCATCTTACTATCAGGAAAAAAGCAGAAAGTGTGTTTCTCAAAATGTCAAAATAGGACTTTTTCTTGAAAGAAGCTATTTCCCGCTAGACATGAATGTTGTATCTTGTTTAAATATCTCTGCATGCATCTGAACTGGCTTATTCTAGCAGTTTCAAGAAAACGGTGAAAATGAAGTGAGTAGAGGCAGATGACGTAATTTACTTTTGGTCAAGGTCCGTCAGCTCCTTCCCAACATCCTCATACGTGGTGTGGAGGGCTCTGTGAATTTTCTGGAAGTAAAGAAGAAAAGAGAACCAGCGATTATAATGTGAAATAATTTATCAGCTGTGAAATAGAGCATTTAAGATGATTACTTAGAGCTGCTAACATCCATTAGTCTAATAAGTACAAAACATCAGTGACAGCTAAAGAGGTTAGGTTTGTATTTTGTGCCTCCACTGTGACATGATTACATGCTTTAATGTTCAAAAAGGTCTATTTTTCACAGTGTGTGTAAGAGAAACTCCCTCTAACGGCCCGTCCACACGGCGGCGTGCGTTGAAGCTTCAACGCTTCTGCCCATTCACTTTGAATGGGGTGACGTCAAGCTTTTGCCGAACTGCATTGTGGGAGCGTAGCTTCACCTTTGCTCGCTTCAAAAGTTGAGCAATGTTCAACTTTTGAAGCTTCGACGGAAGCGTCAGCCAATCAAATCATATGCCAGTACAAGCTCTAGCCAATCAAACCGCGTGCTTGTGTGTCCGGAGCGGGAGGTTCATGCGATTGGTTGTTGGTCAAGTTTCAGACACGCCCGCCGGCAAGCTTCAACGCACGCCGCCGTGTGGACGCTGCGTAAAGGGAACTTTGGGATGTTATCTTCCGCAGACCATTTACATGCACACAAACCTATACAACTACAGGAAAGGGAAAAGCCCAAAAAGCACAATAGGGCCTAAAAATAATGCTGTGGTGTTCCTCTGAATGATTTAACGAAACTATTGTATATTCAGAGAGGCAGTATTTGATTAGGTTAATGTGTCAGTTGCTAAATCCCATTTTGGTTCCAAAGTGCTTTGGTTAGACTGAAAACAATCACTCCAAAGCAATTTTAAGCTAAGCCACATGAGTTGAAGTCTTTCTGATATACCTCTGGAGATATCTGAGGGAAAGGGATACTCTGGGTGTTTCTCAATGTCGAGTACGCTTGTTTGGTAGCACATGTCTGCCGAGCATCTTGCTTCAGAAGCGAGGCAAGAATACTTCCTAGGATTCGGAGAGTGGAACAGGCGAGCAAGTGTGCAGGTGTGCGTCATATGAGAAGCCCCGCCTTACATTTTCCACCACAGATTTGGGGAAATTGGTCCGTGCGCAAAGCATTGTGGGGACTTTAAGACCGCAGAGTCTACACATGTGCAGCCCCGAAATGTCTCCAAACGAAGCACGCAGGGCTCGGTAGAATTCCAAGTATGCTGGAGATTGGAACAGTCCTTCGGCGGCACTCGATGACGTAGTATGCTTGAAATAGTGGCTCTGACTCGAGATTGAGAAACACCCTCTCACTCTAGGTACATGTAGAGATTATCTTGAGGGACTCAGACGTCCTCCTCTCCGATAACGGAGTTTGGTGATGAATGCTAAAGGCTGCCTCGGAGTGGTTGCCCTTTCAGAAGGATGAAGTAAACGAATGGGAGCCGTGTTGACATCCATTGCTCCATCAAATATATTGCTACAGGTACCTCATTTGTGGAAATGGCTAGACTTTCTTAAAAAACTCAATATGACCTTTAAATCCCCAATTTCTGGTTCCTGTGAAGTACGTTGTATTAGAGGCACCAGTTCTCCAGAGCAGTGCTTCTCAAACATTTTTCAGTAATGTACCCCCTTTGAAACATCTTCTCAACCAAGTACCTCCTGACCGACCCCCAACATTTTTGATATAAAAAATATAGTGATGTTCCATCAGTGTGTGATTTAAGGGAGAGAGGAGAGAGAGGGTGGCGGGAGTCTGAGATGTCTACCCCTAGGTCGTAAAAACGGACAGACAAGCCACGACGACACATACCGCCACCAGCCTGGGACAACTGGGAACCGTCCACTTGTGTGGAAGATAGGGACCGAGTAGGAGTGGAGGCTGCGGTGTGTGTGAGACGGTCATGACCGATGTGTGGTGGGTCCACTCATGTCCGTAGCGACAAACCGGTGTACGTGTGTGATGGTGTGTGTGTGTGTGTGTGGTGGTGTGTGTGTGTGTGTGTGTGTGTGTGTGTGTGGTGTGTGCTGGATGTGGTGGTGTGTGTGTGTGTGTGTGTGTGTGGTGTGTTGTGTGTGTGTGTGGTGTGTGTGGTTATAGTCCTACAGGGGGATCGAATTCCGAGATAAATGTCCATTGATTACGGGAGATGACAAATTTTGAGTATTGTCCTGTTCTTGCCCTGATAATAAAATACAATTTTTGACTTACGTTGAGCTACAAGAATTGCTCTACATTGCTACCTAAAGAGTATTTATAATTATTGAACTTCGGATTAACATACGATTAGAGATAATGAAACAGATTAATCGAGTAAAAAAAAAATTAGCACGACGATTTCAATGAACGCTTGTTAAAGAACTTAAATTATACAATTAATTCATTTTTCAGATAATTTGACAAGGCGTGACCGTCACGACGTAAGAAACAAAATAAGATGAAGATTCGCCTTAGAAAATATTTGTAGAATGTGTGCTAGTAATCTACATGCAAAAGTAAGGTATGACGAGTGAGATAATAGTGAAAACGAGATTATGAAACCTTTATACGCAATAAATTACTAAATTTATAGCGTATTATCTCCTAAATTTCTTTTACTTCTATTATTTTCTGTATGGAACCTTCTAAATAAAAACGGTAAATCACCGGAGTCACTAAGAGTTTAGCCTCCCTATGCACCGGGGGATCCGCCATGCAACCCATGACGTCCCCACGCAACTCTATTTTTTTTTTTTTTCAATTAATTTTTTTTATCGGTACGTAACTAACGTTGTCTATTAGAAATCATGTTCAAGTATATCTTTGTGTTAACAATAATTTTTTAATAAGGTAATCTTGGTTGTTCCCCCAGAGAGTAATATTTGTAAGTTTTACACAAATACATAAAAGTATTTAATATAGTAATAACTAAGTGTACTTTTGTGGGAACCTTTTTAGGCGGAATTATAGGAATCAAACAACATTTAAAGTACGGTAC